TACTTATGTACATGTGTTTTGTTTTTTATTTTTAATAAATTGCAAAGATTTCAAAACGAACTTCTTTCACGTTGTCATTATAAGGTATTGCTTGTAGAATGTTGAGGGACAAAATGAATTTAATCCATTTTGGAATAAGGCTGTAACATAACAAAATGTAGCAAAAGTTAAGCGCTGTGAATACTTTCTGGATGCATTGTAGGTCTGGAGTTTGACTGGGCTATTCTAACACATGAATACATTTTGATCTAAACCATTCCATTGTAGCTCTGGCTGTATGTTTAGGGTCGTTGTCCCGCTGGTAGTTGAACCTCCAACCCAGTCTCAAGTCCTTTGCAGACTCTGACAGGTTTTCTTCTAAGATTGCCCTGTATTTGGCTCCATTCATCTTCCCATCAACTCTGACCAGCTTCCCTGTCCCTGCTGAAGAAAAGCATCCCCACATGATGCTGCCACCACCATGTTTCTTGGTGGGGATGGTGTGTCCAGGGTGATGTGCAGTGTTAGTTTTCTGCCACACATAGCGTTTTGCGTTTAGGCCAAAAAAGTTCAATTTTGGTCTCATCTGAACAGAGCACCTTATTCCACATTTTTGCTGTGTCCCCCACATGGCTTCTCACAACTTCTTATGGCTTGCTTTCAACAATGGCTTTCTTTTTGCCACTCTTCCATAAAGGTCAGATTTGTGGAGTGAACGACTGATAGTTGTCCTGTGGACAGATTCTCCCACCTGAGCTGTGGATCTCTGCGGCTCCTCCAGAGTTACCATGGGCCTCTTGGCTGCTTCTCCGATTAATGCTCTCCTTGCCTGCCCTGTCAGTTTAGGTGGACAGTCATGTCTTGGTAGGTTTGCAGTTGTGCCATACTCTTTCCATTTTCGGATGTTGGATTGAACAGTGCTCTGTGAGATGTTCAAAGCTTTGGATATTTTTTTTATAACCTAACCCTGCTTTAAACTTTCCCATGTTATCCCTGACCTGTCTGGTGTGGTCTTTGGCCTTCATGATGCTGTTTGTTCACTAATGTTCTCTAACAAACTTCTGAGGGCTTCACAGAACAGCTGTATTTATACTGAGATTAAATTACACACAAGTGGACTCCATTTACAAATTAGGTGACTTCTGAAGGCAATTGGTGCCACTGGATTTTAGTTAGGGGTATCGGAGTAAAGGGGCTGAATACAAATGCACGCCACACTTTTCAGATATTTATATGTAAAAGATTTTGAAAACCATTTATCATTTTCCTTCCACTTCACAATTATGTGACATTTTGTGTTGGTCTATCACATAAAATCCCAATAAAATACATTTACATTTTTGGTTGTAACATGACAAAATGTGGAACATTTCAAGGAGTATGAATACTTTTTCAAGGCACTATATATATATATATATATATATATATATATATATATATATATACACACACACACACTGCTCAAAACAAATTAAAGAAACACTTTTTAATCAGAGTATATCATCAAGCCAATTAAACTTCTGGGATGTTGATCTTGTCAGTTAAGTTGCAGAGGGGGTTGTTAATCAGTTTCAGCTGCTTTGGTGTTAATTTAATGAGACGACCCCCAAAACAGGAATGGTTTTACAGGTGGAGGCCACTGACACTTTGTTTCCCTACTCATCTTTTTTTTTATGGTTTTTTTACTAGTTTTGCATTTGGGTAGGGTCAGTGTCACTACTAGTAGCATGAAGAAATACCTGGACCCTACAGAGGTTGCACAGGCAGTCCAACTCCTCCAGGATGAAACATCAATATGAGCATGGAGGAGATTCCAGGAGACAGGCAGTTACTCTAAGAGAGCTGGAAACGGCCGCAGAAGGTCCTTAACCCATTAGCAGGACCGGTATCTGCTCCTTTGTGCAAGGAGGAACAGGATGAGCTCTGCCAGAGCCACTACAAGATGACCTCCAGCAAGCCACTGGTGTGAATGTCTCTGACCAAACAATCAGAAACAGACCTCATGGGGATTGGCCTGAGGGTCCGACGTCCTCTAGTAGGCCCTGTGCTCACTGCCAGGCACCATAGAGCTTGATAGGTATTTGCCATTGAACACCAGAATTGGCAGGTCTGCCATTGGCAGCCTTTGCTTCGCACAGATGAGAGCAGGTTTACCCTGAGCACATGTAACAGATGTGAAAGGGTCTGTGGAGAACATTATGCTGCCTGTAACATTGTTCAGCATGACCGTTTTGGTGGTAGGTTAGTGATGGTCTGGGGAGGCATATCCATGGAGGGACACACAGACCTCTACAGGCTAGACAATGGCACCTTGACTGCCATTAGGTATCGAGATGAAATCCTTGGACCCATTGTCCGACCCTATGCTGGTGCAGCGGGTCCTGGGTTACTCCTGGTGCACGACAATGCCCAGCGTCATGTGGCAAGATTATGCAGGCAGTTCCTGGAGGATGAAGGAATTGATACCATTGAATGGCCCCCACACTCGCCTGACCTAAATCCAATAGAACACCTCTGGGATATCATGTTTCGGTCCATCCAACACTGCCAGGTTGCACCTCAGACTGTCCAAGAGCTCAGGGATGCCCTGGTCCAGATCTGGAAGGAAATACTCCAGGACACCATCCGTCATCTCATTAGGAGAATGCCCCAAAGTTGTCAGGCATGAATTCAAGCACGTGGGGCCATGCAAACTACTGAGTACTATTTTGAGTTGCTGCAATTAAATTTCAGCAAAATAGACTAGCCTGTTGCATAATTTTTTCACTTACGGGGTGTCTTTGAATTCAGTCCTCTGTAGGTTGATAATTTTCATCAAACGATGGGGCATCCTTACATTCCTAACACATTACCCAGTCCATATCATTATAGATATCCAGCATGATATTTTTCCCCATAGAGATGTGATGTGTTTTCCAAAGCGTTCCTTTAATTTTTTTTGAGCAGTGTATATATGAGCCAAGCCACAGCTTACCATTGTTTCCTGTTGATGTGTTCAGACTGGGTGAGTTTTCTGATATTTGGTTCATTGTTACCTGAGGGTGGTTCCACTCATGGCCCTAAATCTCTATCTGTCGCTCCCCACGGTTTGCTCCCTTAATGTGGAGCTCTCCCTTGTTTGGACATATTTATAGGGGGAAGGGGTGGGGGTGGGTTTTTTTCTTTTTCCTGTTCCTCTCATCCCCCAGATAATGTCTCTGCTAGTTTTTGATATTTGAATGTATGAAATAATTTTTGTCTTTTGTGTTTCATTCATAAAGTTATATACAGTTTTATGTCTTTCGTTTATTACAATCATCTATTTCAAACATGGATCCTGAGGAAGCAAATACAGAGAAACGAGTCAATCCCATATGTCACGGATCCACGGTCGCCGCCACCAACATGCGACAATCGCACGACCGTGACTAACAGTAATACATCACGCCCACGGCGTCAGACCCCAGACCTTCTCACCAAACTCGTGACCGAAGGACCGGCCGATCTAAAACCGCGGTGTGACGCGCGTAACAAGGCTGCACCCTGCACAGCGATTGTCCAGCTAATGGGCTACAATCGGTGCCTGCAGCCTGAATGCGCTTGTTACTGGGTCGGGTTAATTACGCAACTAACCCTTCTACTGCCACCACCATCTTGAAATGTACAGAGAAGATGGACTCTGTCAGAAATACACTATAATGATTGAAAAGTCACCTGTCCAATATGGTCAATTGGGCAGGGAGTAAACAAACACAGTAGCGTCTCTTCAAAAGGCAGGAATTCGTGAATTGCAGGTAAGCGCTTAAAAAACAGTTTAACACTAACAGAAAGAAAGATTTATTACTAAAAGAGTCAAACAGGTGCAATAAAATATTTGCAAAGAGATGTCACAAAAATATATATATATGTATATAAAGACACAGCAGAGATAATAGGAAGAAAGATTACAGGGTTAAGTTACTTGCCCTTAGCCTGGGTTTGCAGATCCAAGTTGCAGAGCAGGATGATTCTTTATCTCCTCCTTCGATGTTAGCTGGGAGATCTGTCTGTACAAAAACTAGCCTTCAGGCTTGCAGCCTGTTCTTTTTTTAAAAAATCCCTCTGCTGGGGGGGGGTGGCCTTGAGTCTGCCCAATACAATATGTTGGGCAGAATGTCAGTGGACTCTCAGTTAAAACTAACAGCTTCATACCTCATGATATGAAACATACAGTTGACCTGAGGAATGTTCAATTCTCTTTCAAGTCCGGGGGGGAGAAGCTATCTTATCTTGATTACGATGGGGGAGAAAGTACACTTTCACAGACGGCTGGCACCAAACTGGGGATGCTTAACCTGGGCTGACCCACACCATCTGTCAGGAGATAACGTTTGCCTCTCAGGACCGGAGGGGGGTAGGGAATGAGGGCTGAGGAATACTTCCACCAAAAGTAAAGGAAAAGGGGAGCTCCGCGTCCAACTTTGATGAGCTAATTTGCTACACCATACGCTTGTTGTACACTTTCACAATATGTTGATACAACTGGATTTTGATGTTACATGTTTTATGGGAGATGATCCTCTTTTAATTAGATTAGAATTAATATATATATGATTTTTATCTATTTGTGTTGTGTATGTCTCCCATTGTCAGGCACATGTAAAGTCCCTTTGTATGGCGGCACATCTCCGTCTTTTTGTTGTAAATGTTTTTTGGCATGGTGCCACAATGTGGAATTATTTGTTAGGGCCCCCGATCACACACTCCTAATATGGCAATGGTATGATTAAGCTCTACACTGAAAATGTATGCTTGGCCATGTAATAACTGCTTGGTTTTTGTTGTATCTGTGATCATTGTGTGTACACCCGTGCTGCGTTTCATAAAAATACATATATAAAAAAAGAATATCATGAAACAAAACAAAGCCTGCTACTCAATATTTTTATTAAGAATCAATATTTCTAATTACGTTTTTAATGAGCTAATGAAAATGACAATTTCCAGGATAGGAGGTAAAATTATTGCTCATATTGAACAGAAATGTGGATTTTTTTTTTCAGTTACAGATAGAGATCTTTAGTAAGTTTGCTGACAATACAAGGCATTTCTTTGTTTTCCATGTGATGATTCATATTCGAATGCAACTTTATGGTTTACACGTGTTAAAATCTGCATCAGATCATTCTTCTTTCCGTACTTTTTCAGCATGTCACACAGTGACTGAATAAACCAGGAGCCATAACTTAGGTTTCTCCATGACACATAACCTTCAGAGGGAGAAAAATCATAGTGGTCTGCTTTATATTAATGTGGAAAAAATGGTTAAGGTGATATTAAAGGCAATTTTTAAAAAACAACACAAATCTCATACTTACTTGTTCTGTGCAGTTTTGCACAGAGCAGCCCTGATCCTCCTCTTCTCGGATTCCCCACCAGCGCTCTTTGACCCTCCCTCTTCCTAAGTGCCCCCAGAGCATGCAACTTGCTTTTGGGGCACTCTATCAGGCTCGCTCCTGTGCCACTGATCGGCCATACCCGCTCTTTCTCCTCATTGGCTCACTGTCTGTTATTGACCCACTGCTGTCTCAGCCAATGAGGAGGGAGAGTTCCCAGAGAATAGAGGCTCTCATGCACATCACGGGATCACGATGGGGCTCACATAAGTGTTAGGGGGGGCTGCGGCAAACCACTGCAGCCTCTACAACCACTTTAATTATGTTTTAATAAAGCCCTCCTCTTGAAATGTCAGTTTCTGATACACTCTGTGGCCATTATGATTGGTTCTATGGATTTTGTATTTATGTTACATTATGAAGAATACACCTAGAACAATCTGTACAATGGCATGCATTCCATCCTGTAATGTGTTGTATACATTTTATTTATTTATTATGGTCAGGACTCAACAATATAACTTTTATTTTTACCTCTTTTATAGTCAGGTAAAAGTGAAATATTGCAGGTGTAGCACCCTTCTAGTGTAGTGTAGGCTGGTAGATACATTTAGTTGGCTGCTATGTAATCAGAGGAGCAGGGGTTGATTATTGTCTCACAAGCTGCTTCTCTGATTACTTCTCCTTGTATTTTAGAGAATTCTAGAATTAGAGAGGGAGGAAGAACAGAGTAGGCAGCCTAAATATTTATGGCACTCCAGCCAAACCCTGGGGACATGTGACCAGTAGGTGGTTGGAGAGCCTTTAACCACTTCCTGTCGGGCCGTTGTATATAAATGGCCGAACGGTGGCAGTGCAGGGTCGGGTGGCAGTTTATAAACGGCCTCCCCGATTCGGTACGTTACTCCAGTGGCCTGATGTTACCCTTTCTGCCTTTGCTCCCAATTGTTAATAATCCTCTTTTCCCACCGGGTTTGGATCACCCAAGGGGGTGTTCTCTTGGTGGGGGTAGCTAATGGTTTTTTCGCAGGTGCGACACTTTTTGGTTTTTCGGTCCTTCCCCACCTGGGATTCTCTTCGAGAGTCCCGGGATGTTCTCCCGGCGGAATTTTTTCGATACCTTCAATTGCGGCACTGGCTGCTCTCGATGCGGGGCACTTCTGCTTTCCCATACCAGAAATCTGCCTTTGAACAGCTTTGCCAGCAGCGTCCGGGCGCCCCGGGCCTTATTTCCCTTCTTTATGCAGTTTTGAACAGACGCTCGTCGCATACTTCTCTTTCATATGTTGTTCAGTGGGAGCACGACCTGGGAGTGGCTGTGGATCCGGAGGACTGGAATAAGGCTTGGTCACTCATAGCTAAATGCTCATTTAATACGACCACGCTGGAGGCAGCCTATAAGGTATTGTTTTGTTGGTATTGGGTTCCGGCTCGTTTGGCCCAGGCTAACCCTGCCTGTAGTGATCGATGTTTTCGGGGTTGTGGCCATCGTGGCGATGTCTTGCATATCTGGTGGTCATGCCCAAGACTGGTTCGTTTTTGGTCTCCTGTGTTTGGCCTCCTTTCCACTTTGTTTCATCTCTCTATAGGCCGGGATGCTCGGTATGCCTTGCTTCATTGCCCCATACCGGGCCTCTTGGCTCATCAGCAGAAGTTGGCATCCTATTTGTTTTTATTGGCCACTAGAACAATTGCTCAGGCTTGGAAGAGTCCGTTTGTTCCTCTTCAGGGGGTGTGGGATCGTATGACCACTATGATGCTCAACGAACGGATGTCGAGTATATGCAACGACTCCCAACGTAAATTTTCAAAAATATGGGAACCGTGGTTGCAATATGCCTTTCCCATGCTCCCTCTGGCTAGTATGGGGATGTAATGGCGCTTGGCATTGGCATTCGGTGGTGGCGCTCTTGGACCCCTGCCCCCCCTTTTTTTTTTTTTCTTTTTTTTTTCTTCTTCTTCCTCTCCCTTTTTCTGTTACTTTTTGGGTGACAGTGGACAGCTGCCTCTAGTTGTTATAATCAGAGTCTCATTGATGTTGATGTAACTTATGTGCCATTGATAGCCCCTGCGTGGGCATACCTTTTTCCTTGTTGGAGTTAGAGCACTGTTTCTCTATTATGTTTTTTCTTATCGGTGCAATTGATAGCCCCTGTGGGGGCGTGTTTTGTTGCTTCTGTTTTGTACTGATTAAAATTAATAAAAACCATTGAAATATAAACGGCCTCCCCGCAGCCTGCTTGTGCGCACTCCGGTGCCTGCTGTGTCCTCCGGACACAGTGGAACACCGATCGTCGGACGGGACCTCTGTGCGAGGTCCTGATCATGTGATCACTGATTGGCCAATCAGTGATCACATGCAGAGTAGTAAGCAAGATGTCACTTGTGACATCAATGCTTACTACGTGTGAAATCTGTGAATGATCACAGAGGCCACATGGTACAAGGCTATTCACAACAGCCTTGTACCATGTGACAAGCTGTGACCAATCACAGCTCACACAGTAGTTCTCAATGGCTGCAAGAATGAAGCTAGAGAGAAGGAGAAATGATTGCTTTTACAGTCTTTATGGGTGTAAAAGCAATCAGTGTAAAAAAAAAAAAAAAAAAATCTTCATCACCCCCCACAAGTAGTACAGTGTCACCATGGTAACACTGTACTGCTAGGGTGACAGTATGTAAAAAAAAAAAAAAAACATAAATAATAATATAAAAAAAATAAAAAAAAATGTTTAAAAATTATAATTTTTGGTTATAAACTAATTTGGGGGTTTTTTTTTACTAAAAAGATAATGGAATACATTTTGGCCAAGATTTATAATGAAATACCATTTATTTGCAAAATTTTATATGAAAAACACTTTTTTTTTTTCAAAATGTTTGGACATTTCATTTATATAGCAAAACAAATAAAAATCCCAGAGGTGAATAAATACCACCAAAATAAAGCTTTATCTGTCTCAAAAAAATGCTAAAAAATTCATATGGGTACAGTGTTGCATGACCACGCAATTGTCATTCAAATTGTGATAACACTGAAAGCTAAAAAATTGGTCTGGACAGGAAGGGGGTAAAATTGTCTGAACTGGAAGTGGTTAAATAGTCTGAGGCATGAGGCAGCAGCAGAGTTCTTAGGTGCAGTCAGGGTATCCCATGCTTCCCTTATTCCTTTCTAAATTCTACATTCCAATAAAACTCTAATACTTTGAGCCAGTGGAAGGTGAATAAGGATCAAGTTTCACCAGCAGCTCTAAACATATATATTTTAAATGTTCATTATTTAAATTTTTGTAGACTGGCAGGGCAATTATAAAGCATGTTTATGCATAAATTAACAAAATATCAGTGTATGTATATATATATATATATATATATATATATATATATATATATATGTGTATATAAAACTTTGACACTATTTACACAAAAACATACAGTACATACACAGTTAGGTCCATATATATTTGGACACAGGCACAATTTTAGTTTTTTTTTATCAGGTGTTTACCAAAACATATTCAAGCTATAGTTATATAATGGATAGGGGCTGAAAGTGTACACTCTCAGGTTTAATTTGAGGGAGGGTTTAGGAAATTGCAGCTCTTAAGAGTAGCCATCCCCCAATTTTTCAAGAGACCAAAAGTAATTGGACAATTGAATCAAAAGCTGTTTCATGGCCAGGTGTGGGCTACTCCTTTGTTATCTCTTAATCAATTAAACAGGTAAACCGACTGGAGTTGATTCTAAGTGTGGTATTTGCATTTGGAATCTATTGCTGTGAACCTACATCATGCGTTCAAAGGGGCTATCCATGCAAGTGAAACAGGCCATTGTAAGGCTTCAAAAACTAAACAAATCCATCAGAGAGATAGCAGCAACATTATCAGTGGCCAAATCAACAGTTTGGTGCATTCTGAGTAAAAGAAGAACGCACTGGTGAGCTCAGCAACATAAAAAGGCATGGATTGTTACTCCACACTTTAGCTCATTCGGTAGGCGACTTCCTCACCTTCAGGGCTTTATCCCCACCTACCTGCTCCGGTTAATAGACTTATGCTCGAATCCACCCATAGAAGACCCTTGGTGTTGACGACAATACGAACCCAGTTCGCCCCCCCCCCCCCCCTTCTCCCTCCCCCCCCCCCTTTTTTTTTTTTTTCTCTTCTATCTCTCTCTTTTCTTGTTCTCCTTTTCTTTCGTCTTATCTTCCTGTTACACGCCCAGTCAACCACTGGGTTCCTCTTTAGAGAACTTTAGGCATGCCATTGTCATACTTATCCTATTTACATCAGCGACCCTCACGACGATCTAAGCTTACTTACAGGCACCTTCACTCTAGTAAAAAACAACTAGCTTCGTCCTTAACGGTTGTGCTGCATCTACACTGCCTCCTTCTGCGACGCTCCAATGAGAATTACATACTAAGGAGGTCCAACGCGATAACATTCCCATGCACACTACTATACTGCCTGAGTATTTCAGACTTCCCCGTCGTGGACTGGCACAACCATGTTTCATATGTGGTTCTTTGTAAGAATATTCCTACTATTTCCCGGTATGCACTGCCTAATGTTGTATATGACTATCATTCGCATTTCTTTTGTATTATTATGCACTTTCTCAATAAACGTTTTTTTTTTTGGTAAAAAAAAAAAAAAAAAAAAAAGCAGAAAACAAAAAGGCATGGATGTCCATGGAAGACAACAGTGGTGGATGATCGCAGGATCCTCTCTATGGCAAAGAAAAACCCATTCACAACATCCAAACAAGTGAAGGACACTCTCCAGGAGGTGGGCGTATCATTGTCAAAGTCTACAATCAAGAGAAGACTTCACGATACCAAAAACAGAGGTTTCACCACAAGGTGCAAACCA